TCTTTCCATTTCATTTTCTTAAAGCCATGTTTTCAGCTTATGATGTGGTATGAGATGGGTATGCAATGTACATATCCTTTAGTTGGTTAGAGCATCGTGCTGATAACTTAATATCCTTTGTTTCCCCAATAGCTTATGTGTGCAGTGTTTATTTAATATTTCTAAAACCAACTTTTTTGGGGTGGGGGTACTAAAAGATGACTTTCATTTTTTCATTGCGCATGAATTATTGGTACATTTCTTCTTCTTCTTTTCCCTTCTTTGGAATGCCTTGTAGCATCAGGGCAGGAAGAAATTTGTTGAATGGGCCCTTCTGTTCACTTTGTATAAAGTACTTTTCAGTATCTCTGATATTTCTGCAGTCCATCTTTTGTGTGGTAGATCTCTGGCTCTATTACCCCTGTATGAGATCTCTTTATTTTCTTCAAGCACTAAAGTAAGCCACTGTCAGTTTGCTGGACCAGTCACAGTGTTTCCAAACTTCCTAGAAGGTCACACTTGAACTAGACTATCACATTCAGACTAGTTTAACACAACTTCCACTCTAGGATGTCCACAACTGACCCCGGCTAGATGCTGGCCAAAAAATAAACATCTCCTTGTGCTAACGGGAGGCATGGAAATCACAGATTGTGGCAATGGTAAGTGTGACCGTTTCTGACTGCATTAGCTTGCGTTTAGAATTGTTCACAACCTTTGTTGTCATCACACAAATTTCACATGTTTCTTTTCAGACGCTCAGCTCTAAGCCCATCTGCAGTCCTTTTCTCCTTTGTGCGAATTCCCATCCAAATGTTCCCCCTTCATTCTAGCATCCTGTTCCCAAGAATCCATCTATGTAATACCTGCATCCATCGTTTCCTGCTTGTACATATTAAAATCATTGTGGAGACAAACCACATCTTCTGCCCATCTATAATCCAATTAAAGGATGTCCTCAGATTTGACTCTACCATCTTCCCCCCTTCTTCCCCACCCCAAATGTGCACTAGCCATCTATACCTTCAAAGACTGAGCATTGAGAAAATTGTGTTTCACATGAATATCACCTGAGGATCTCATTACTTGACCTTACCGCCTAATTGTCTATGTTATTAACATGATGTTGCTCCTTCCATTTTTCTGAAATCATATTTCTGGTCATGTCTCTTTTGTTCGCATGGGTAGCTCTTCGTAGACATCTTATGAGGTGATCATTATCTTATGTGCCTTGGTTTGTCACCAGGTAGGATGTGTGTAACAAAGAGTTGTTCTGAATAAATCAGTGAGCTTCTTCTTCTTCTTTGTTCATTCTTAAAATCGCTTTTGGAGCCTTGTTTTGTGGTTTATATCTAGGCTCTGATATCAGTACATTTTGGCTTAACACATCCAGTTTCAGCAGACCCTTCACTCTTTCAGTCCCACAAGGTCCTCGTTAATGTTTAAGAAAGTTTAGAATGACAATACTAAACTCATGGGTATACTACTTCCAGAGGGGCCAAATGTACAACTCTTCTTCTTCTGCCGTTCATCCGCCCCCACCCCCCAGTGGTGCATAGGCCATCAACCAATTCACACCAGGCTGTTCTATCCAGTCCTTACAGGAACATATATATTTTCAGTCGCTGACTAAATGTCAGATGTAAAACTTACATAACATGTTAACTGGCAAACATAAATAATATATATGTTGGCCCAAATGTTTGTACTACTGGCACTCAAAGGTTGTTATAATCAAAATCGTGCCAGAACTTTCCCTTAGTTTATTTTAGTCTGAATTGACGTGGTAGAACAGTTAAAATTTTTCAATATCCCAGTCATATTTTCTTTTTAAATTCTGTAGTTTCAGGTTTTTCAGAAGTAAGTTTTTTTTTTTTTTTAACCCTAAAGAAAGCACATTGATTTTCTTTTGGAATTGATGAAAAAACAACACACATTTGGCAATGCAAAACTTGTATTTCATTGAAATCTTCTTGTAATCAGTTTACTTTTGGCAGTATTTTGAAAATGTTACTAAATTTGTTCATGATTACAATGCATTTAGTGCAAATAAAAATATTTTATAAATATAATTTTTGTTTTTGTGGCTTTGAAGTTGAAGATTTTGTAATGGTTGCTCAAAATGAGGTTTAGAGTTGTGTTGCTGAGATGAGAGCTGAAAATGACGTTTTGAGTTGTGTTTCTTATGAGGTTTGAGTTTGTAAATAATCTCTAAAACTGCACCAGACACCTTCATCATAAGAAGAGATTGAAGATATTGTTTCTGTCTGTTATTTCCTCATAAATCAAGCAGGTGTTGTCTTCAAGATCAAGATAGAAAAATTTTTTGCAATTAGAGGTACAGTGAAGTTTCTTGCTGCCCCAAAGGACTGATCGTGCAAGGGAATGCCCAGTGTGCAGTGACAGTGATTGTGAAATCATATCATAACTTCTTCTTCTTCTGCTTTTGTCATCTCACTGATACCAAGTTGCAGCCCAGTGTTGTTGTTTTCAGTATTTGTCTTGTGCTTTTAGGGTGGCTTGGGTGATGGATTTGTTCATCTTTTGATCCATATCTTTCTTGGTCTTTCTCTTGCCTTCCTCCCTTATGTGCTGCTGTAATTAGTCACATATGCAGTTTGGTCTGGCTGCATTCTCCTTCCAGGCGAACCATAATAGACAATGCAAATACTTTTCTGTGCTTGAGTAACTAACTAAAAATGATTGTCTGAAGAAACTTAATGAAAGAAGAACAGGTGCAGGAGGGTGTGACCAGGGGAATCTGACTGGCACAAAACACTTAAAGGAAAGGCTAACTGGACAGTCAGTCAGCCAGATACTGGTACCATAGAAATGGAACTCAGGTCAGGGACAATGTTGATTGTTGAATTAAGAATTACATTACAGCACTCAGGACACTTTCATAGGTGCTCCATCCCTATCTTCAGCAATAAACTGAGAGTTCCAGTTTTGACAGCATCAGTAACTGTCTGACTGTATATTCGTCTAGCCTTTCCCTTCAATGTTGAGCCTCGTTCAGATCCTCTGGTAACTCCTTGCAGCGCTAATCTCCTCATACCACTTGGCCATCAGACAAGCATCAGTCAATATGCATACGATGCTATTTCAGGGGCCTCAAGTGTTTCACAATTGTAGCTGCATATCTTGCATACATTTACACACATTATACAGATTCACTAGAAACAGATCCGCAGGGTGCTGGGCCTGCTTAATATTGCATGGTCACTCTGTGTTTGCGGCGTCAGTAGCTTAGGCGTTGCGAGTCTGACTCGTAATTCCAACGTACCGCAATCATCATGGTGTGGGGCGTCGCAGGTCGACCTAGCCTAAAATGGGTACCAGGATGGATGTCCTGAGGAAGTAAAGACAGTTGGCGTAATGCTGATCACATTACCCACCTAGTGCCGAATGGTCTGTACAAAAATGGGTACTCTTCCCATATACCTGATGCACCTAATGCATAAAAAGGGGTCTTTACTTACTTACTTTACACTCTGTGGTTAGTGTACTCAGTTGTACACTGTACAGGCTGACTTACACAGTGGTCCATGGTTTAATCCCATGAGTGCCAGCAATTGTTTCTAGAGTTAGCCAAGCCTTTGGGAAATATTGGATGACCAGCGCAATACTGACCATATTATTTTTTTTGTTTCACATTAATCAAGTGCACTGCTGACCAGTACAGAAAATCATGTTCACATCAAGCCCCCCACCCCCCCCCCTCCCACCCTGTTTGACTGTCCATTACATGACGAACTTCTCTTAACTTGTATAAAGGATACATTTTATTTAGTGATTACACTGGACAGGATCCTAGGTAGGTAGGTAGGTAAGTTGTACCTTACCAGGACATCACACAAGCAATAAACACCCAGTGTCACAAGGTGCCACCATGTGGATGAGGATCACCCATGGAGAGGTTTCTGAGACCCCGTTCAAACCATAGGCCATATTTAGGGCGCGGCTATATTTAGGGCAATCTCTCCACATAGTGGCTAGTCACCCAAGATCGTATCACATAAAGCACCAACTCCACAGCTTCAGTAATGAGCTCCTAGAGATCACCAAAATACATGCACCCACAATTTAAATGACAGTCAAAAATCAAACTGATACCATTCAGAATGGGAGGCAAATAGTATAACAACTTTACCATGGAGACATTCGGTCTTATACATTCCGGCTGCTCTCTCAAAGTTTGAACAGCCCTGAGACTTCCAGAATCTTGCACTGGATAGTCAACTAACAAAAACAGTCCCTGACATCCTGCTATACCTGCAAAGAAGGTATTATTATTAGGGCTCTAGTAATGGCTTCTAACCTGCAGTTCTGTGTGGACAAGGAATGCAAATGACCACCATGCAGATACCACCCTTACAACAATGCAACACACACACATCTACATCTCTACACTTTCTTCTTCGCGTTCACCAGCTGTACACTCTGGCGGAAAGTTCTGGTTGATCGTCCACTACTGAACTGCAGTCCCGCTCCAGAACCTGAGTGTTGCGTGTGCATCAGTTTTACAGATCTCATTCTCTTGAATACAGACTGTTGGTTCCTTGCCTCTCCGGCAGATGCACTCCGACTTCAAAGGAAGCTCCCCAATTAGTCGACTCTTACGACATGCTTTTGGGGAGGCAGTGGGTCTATTCTTGTTTTCCCCACAATGGGGCCCCGGAACCCACACAGGGGTACATCTCTACAAAAATCTACACCATGTAAACTATTTACAATTATTATACACAGAGATGATTGCAGTTTCTTTCCTTTGACATTGTTCGAAAGGAGGCCTTCCTACTAGCAAGCAACATTTCGACTTAACATGGGTGTCTCCTTCCAAGGTAGACTGCATCTGCGTGAGATGCGCTAAAACAACAAACTGTCTCGGAAACTGACATATTTTAGCCCTATCAAGCGGCCAGGGTTGTATGGAAAGCGCATTATCGGAGGGCGTGGTACTGGGAAAATTGGGCAGGGGCTGACCAACAGGAAGGTGGGTACAAAATGTACAAAATGTGGGAGACATCTTGGGATGAGATATTTTGTGATGAGACATCTTGGGATGCGACATCTTTTGATGCGACATCTTTGATGAGACATCTTTGATGAGACATATTGCGATGAGACATCTTTGGATGAGACATCTTGGGATGAGACATCTTGGGATGCGACATCTTGGGATGAGACATCTTGGGATGCGACATATTGCGATGAGACATCTTGGGATGAGACATCTTGGGATGAGACATCTTGGGATGAGACATCTTGGGATGCGACATCTTGGGATGAGACATCTTGGGATGAGACATCTTGGGATGCGACATCTTGGAATGCGACATCTTGGGATGAGACATCTTGGGATGAGACATCTTGGGATGAGACATCTTGGGATGAGACATCTTGGGATGCGACATCTTGGGATGAGACATCTTGGGATGAGACATCTTGGGATGAGACATCTTTGGATGAGACATCTTTGGATGAGACATCTTGGGATGCGACATCTTGGGATGAGACATCTTGGGATGCGACATATTGCGATGAGACATCTTGGGATGAGACATCTTGGGATGAGACATCTTGGGATGAGACATCTTGGGATGCGACATCTTGGAATGAGACATCTTGGGATGAGACATCTTGGGATGCCACATCTTGGGATGAGACATCTTGGGATGAGACATCTTGGGATGAGACATCTTGGGATGAGACATCTTGGGATGAGACATCTTGTTATGCGACATCTTGGGATGAGACATCTTGGGATGAGACATCTTGGGATGAGACATCTTTGGATGAGACATCTTGTGATGAGACATCTTGGGATGAGACATCTCGGGATGAGACATCTTGGGATGAGACATCTTGGGATAAGACATCTTGGGATGAGACATCTTGGGATGAGACATCTTGGGATGAGACATCTTGGGATGCACGACGGTGCTTATCTGGCGAGAGAGCCAATCTCTTTCTTGTGTGTGTGTCTGTGAGAGAGAGAGAGAGAGGGGGGGGGGAGATACATCATGTAAAGGACCTACTAGATGATAATGATGTGACTATGGAAACGTGGAGAGTGGAGGGGGAGGGGAACTTTTGATGCGAGGACTTAACAGCTAAAACCTTGCACAGGATTAATAAAAAATAGTATCAATAACAACAACAAATAATGTTAATTTTCTAGTTTAACTTTATATTTTAAATCAATATGTGGTGATCGGTTGGGGAAGGGGGTGGAGGTGTTAAAAAATAACTCTAAATTATTGAAAGCGTTAAAAGTAGTATTAATTGTGATAAGTTGCAAGATGTTAAAGCCAAACCAATTTTTTTTCATTAAAAGAAGTGACCAGGAGCTGAAATTTTAGCATGCTTAGATAATATTTTGTTTCTATATAAATTATTTGCAAAAAGCATTACACGAAAATTAAAGCTAACAAAATAGAGGTTGTGACCATAGCCAAAGTAGAAAAAAACAATAAATATCCAGCTTATAGAACACTCTCTGAAACAAATCAAGAATTTAAAATACTTAGGAAGCATATCATAAGGTGAAATTGATGACAGATGTAACATATCAAACCAACTCAACAGACAAAAGACAGCAATATTAAGAACTAAACATATGTCAGTAGAAAGCGAAATAGAGCTATATTAACATACAAACTTCTTTTCCAACCCTGTGTTGTCAAAGTCAGGTCTGCACATTGTCAGAAAACGATTCATGCGAAGGGTTCTCGATATAACAAGAAGAGAAAGATCAGAAACGATTAAATCCGAAGGAAACTCGGGGTAACAGTAGCTCTGGATTTAATTTTAAGACAACGGGTGAAATGGTGTGGCTATATAACTGGGATGTCAACAGACAGTATACCACAGCAAGCAATGATAAACAGACCAAGCGGGAAGCGAAGAAGAAGCCGACCATGAAAACGACGGACAGAGGGAATTACAGAATGTAGAATGTTGCATTAAGAATCGACATCACAGCACTCGGACCACTCCCATAAGTGCTCAATTCTCCATTTTCAACAGCAAGCGAAGAGTTCCAATTAAAGAGACAATGGAAATTCTCACTTACGAAACACACAACCGGATACTTTCGCGTAAATTATACTTCAACTTGTCATAGCAAGGAAGAAGAGTATTAAGATGAGATAAGATGAGATAAATGGAGATGAGAACCAATTTTGAAGTAATATAAAATTATTTTTCTACCCCTTGGGGCCGGTGGCGTAGCAAGGTCATATAGTTCCCGGTGCGGAAAATGTAATGTGTTCTCCCACCCTCCTCCCCACCCCCGGCACAAACACACTCGCAAACACATTTCAATGCTAAAAATAGATATGTTTGCCATTTTGTCACCACCCTCGCCCCCTCCATCAGTGATAAAATCCATTGCGACCAGCACGCCCTATGCTACGCCTATGCTTGGGGCATACTGAGTAGATACATAGTGCTTCTAGCTCATTGAGCCCTCCAGGAAAAAATGGTAAACACTACAAACTGAGTCGTAGTGGATAGCAGATGTACTGTGTAAAGGGGAGTCGATGTGGTCAAGAGGTTAGACGCTTGCCTGCGGATAGAAAGGTCGTAGGTTTTAGTCCTGACAGTGGCCGGATTTTGTTTTCTTAAAAAATGACCCAAGTCGACCAAGCCTTGAGTGGGTACCAGGTGCATTCATGTGAAGCAAAGGCAGCTGGCGTGACGTTGACCACATCACCTACGAAGTGCCGTTTGGTCTTTAAAGTATAGGTATAGCCCTATATATCCAATATGCATGAAGACGTGGAAAAGAGTCCTTGACTTTTTTTTTTTTTGAGACGATAGATCTTTGGATACTGGATAAATTACGTGGTCAGTATCCTGCCTGCCCTTTTTGCTTCCTAGGAATGTATGTTGATATTCATTCTCTTGTGCATGTCTTGACACTTTTACCTCTTGAAAAAACCTCCTGGGTAATAGCGTAGCATGCGTTCACTCAATTAAATTGTTATCAGTTACATTTGTTGGGAGAATGCGTACACCCCTGGTGACGATAGCAACCAAGTGGGGAATTGTAGTGGCATTTGCATTGTTCTAGTGGTTTCCGCTTAGGTAAACACACGCGACCTACGGTTATTGAATAGACTCTTCCACTGCTTCAGGCCAATATAGCTGTAATCTGTTTGCACAAGCCATCAGCGAGGGGAGCCAGCTAGGTAGTAGTTTTTTTCCCAGCGAGTTGTCTTTCCCGTATAATGGACACACTGAAGGTGGGGTATGCTTAATGTCAATTCAAGATTGCAGGTAAACAGAGATAAATCATTCCAGATGCGAGATAGTTGACTACATAAGAAGGACACTAGCGACGTTTGTTTGCTATGGGACAACACATGATGACGATGCTACGATAGAGGAGGATATGCTAATTATTCGGGTATCAAACAGAGGATAGGCCCTATCTTTACCTATCTACCAGAATTATTTGAGCCTCTATTATAATCACTATCATAATCACTATCATAAACACTATCGTCATCATGATCATCGTCGTCGGCATGGGTGTTGCAGTAGTCATCAACATATTTTCCATTTTAATAGTATGCACAGATATAAAACTGAACGAAAAATACGAGCGGAAAGCTTCACAGGACAACAAAAACAAACGAAATAATAGTAAACACGCTATGAAGGGTACTGGGTAGATTGTGCTGTCCCATATGTTTAAAATCAGTACTTAATGGATGATTTGGGCAATATCACACCGATAGCCTTTATTTCTTATACCATTTCCTGCTGTCTAGTTTGGCCTGCATCATCTTATGGACCAGTACCGTCTCATTGTCCTAATAATACCTCCATTATCATTATCGCCTTGAATTTATCATCTTCATAGTTATTAATTTAGTTTCAATCGTCATCATCAACCGTTTTAATGTTCTTTTTCTTCTCCTTCTTCACTTCCTATTTTACCGCTGTGGGTGTCGAGGGAGATATAAGGTTCTGTTTCTAGCTCTTCTGGCCGCCTCGACCATTGTCACATCGTGCTGTTGTAGAGTTTCTCTGATGTTATCCTTGCATATTTTTCTACGTCCTTCTTCTCTTTCCATGTATGCTTTGTATGATATGGTGTCATAAGGCATTCTCTCTAAGTGGGCAAACCATTTCACTTGCTGTCTTTGTATGTAATTTAGAATTAGTTCTGTGCCGACTTTTTCTCTTATATCTCATTCCTGATCTTATCCCTTATGGTCACTCCTACAGCCCTTCTCAGACATCTCATTTCCACGGTTACTAATTTTCTTTTATGGTTTGTTGTGAGTGACCATGTATGGCACTGGTAGCACAGAGTTGGAATAAATATGCTTTGAACAAGATGTCTCTTTGTGATGATTGGGATTTTCTAATGCTGCAAGAGTGTAAGAGTGTAAGTGTTTTAATGTTACCTCATTAATTATTAAAATAGGATAAATTCAAAGGGGGTGAAGAAATAATAAAAAATATGCGGGCAACCACTAGTAGAAACAGTTATCAGACAAAGACGATGGCGCGATATTTGACATATCATGAGAAGAAGGGATCAGAGAATCGCCAAACTGGCACCCTAAAACGAACGTTGATAAGACAGGCCAAAGATGCTGGACTGGGTTCCATCTATGATATTGAACTGATTGCACAGGAAATATCAGACTTATGGAATAGATTGCGAGTCCTGTGACATATAATGACACAACAGGACAATGACTGAATGAATTCATCGTTAGCTTCTGGTCGTTGTCAGTATCACTCGTTAATTACTAATGTCATTGTCATAATTATCGTCTTACCCTCCTCTTCCTTGATAGAAACATAGTGTTGTATATTAAACAGGGTTATTATTACCATTATCTTCCTTGATAGAAACAAAGGTTTATCTATCAAGGCTACCATTACCCTTTCTTTGATACAAAGTGTACTTTAAAAAAAAAAAGGTTACCGCCTTCATCTTCAACAGCAGGAAGGGACGTACCGTTTGACTCCAAATATCAAACTTTGCATGTCCAGTATATTTAAAAACTTAAAAACAATATTGGAACACTAAATGTTTGTTTTCTCGGTATCATGTGGCAAAATAATTAAGGAGGCCAGGACCGAATTGAGAATTACTTCTTCTTCTTTCCTTCGCTTGAAATAGATTATCTAAATCTGCAATGTTGTCTCTAGTATGAACTTCACTGTCTTTAGTAGTTCACTCAGCGACCCGTAAAATTGGACTTGCACCGATGTTTCTCGTGGCCAAAAGTTTTGCCTTGATATGTTGTATTTAGGACAGGCAGTCTTAGAGGACGTGATCTGTTGTCTCAGGTGCCAATCCACATGGGCACACGGCTGATTTGTCAATCTTAAACTGTGTGTACATATGACTTCGAAGTCGACTTTGTCCTGTTCTAAGGCGTAGAATAAAATTTTCTCTGGTCTGTCTATAAAATGGTAATCATCTTGTGCAGGTTTTGGTGGCTTTCTGATTTATTTGATTATTATCTTCTTCTGTTGATCAAAATTACAAGTCGAGTGATATTGATTGTTTATTTGGGGGTTGGGGGGGGGGGGGGGGAGAGGCACCTTTTCTGCAAGAGTTCAATGTTAGGAAGCTTCTTCATCATCACCAATTCCAACTTTTGCTGTTGGAACGATTGCCAGTGCAGAAACTGGGTAGAACTGGCTTTAGTCACTCCGTGAGGATTTAAGGATGGTAAAGATTTCATCAAAGAAATTTACTCAGGAAGAAAACTGATAACCGCATCTCAAGAAAATAAACTACAATCTGTAGGCGCGATGTGAGAATTAAAAAAAAAAAATTAAAAAACTAAAGGGTGGTGACAACGAGGAAATTGGATAGAAAGTTAGGCAGAGGAAAACAAAAGTAGAAAATGCTGGACAGTTTGGCATCATAACAGAAGGCAGTGGA